TTTGTAGCGAGCACCACCCTACGCTATAGCAGCGGTCCTTGCCCATCATGGGTGTGACTCCCTCATTTCAGTCGCCGCCAACTGACCCTCGCTTCCTCGTTTCCGCACATATTTGCCGCTCTCGGGATCTTCTAGAACCGAACTACGAATTTTTAAAAGTTTTGTAGCGAGCACCACCCACCTATAGCACGCCTCGCCCATCATGGGTGTGACTCCCTCATTCAGTCCGGCAAACCTGACATGGCTTTATCGTTTCCCACAATTTCCGCTCTCCGGGATCTTCTAGAACCGAACTACGAATTTTTGAACTATGTAGCTCACAACTGTGCGCATGCCCCGCCCACAGTGGGCGGGGCTTAGCTCAGTTCATGTGTGTTCCGTACATCTTGACCCATGCCCTACCCAACCCACCCTTGACCCGCCCCCTCCAACTGGCTCTTCAGGTGATTCCGAATTTCCGGGACAGACAGACAAACAGACAAACAGACGTTGCCGTTTATATATAGTAGGATCCTCCAGCTCCCCAAAGGCAAAGCCCAGGACCACATATGGAGATTGAGGGATCTGAAATACGATTGAGAAGGCAGGAAGTTATTGATTAAGAAAGAAAAAGGGAGCTGAAATAGTATGGACCGCCGTTTATAGGGCTTTGTACCGATCCGGGGGTGGATGTGCAAAGGACGAAGCGTAGGCGTGGTCCGGACGGTGTTGAAATGCTGGTTCATCGCCCGCAGCTGATCAGTTAGTGTTCACGAAACCAAAGCCTACCTCCTTCCTTTCTCCTCCTTCCACCTTTCTTTTCTCTCTTTTCTGTACACTCTTCTTTATGTAACTGAGTAGCTGTATTTATTGAAAACTTGCTGCTTTTTTCAGGTGCACGCTATTGTTGCATTCGAAATGAAGGTTGGACCATGAGGATGCTCAGGTGGGGGGGGCAGAAAATAAGGTGATTTGTTTGTGATCTTCATTTTGTTACGTATTCTATAACATTATCCTGTATTTGTTTATGTTATTTTTATTTTGTTCTGGTATGTTTTTCCTCTTTATCTTCTTCATTTTACTAAGCAATGATCATCGTTGTTCACGGTTGTGATACAAAATCACCGATCTCAGTTTTCTTATATGTAAGTGCTAGCCATTTAAGTTTGTAGACGTGTGTGGCTGTGTATTTCCCCCTACAAGTTGTCTCACCTTGGGACCAATTTTCGTCCCAGGTGCAAAAAAAAGAGGAGAAAGAACCGTGAATCATTCTGCGAGGAACATAAAATGGTCAGTCTCGCCTTGTTTGTTATGTCAATGATTTTCAATGAGTTTACTGTCTGAAAGAACTGGGAGACCCAGTGTTTTTACCCAGAGTATACACGCGTGACTGATTGGTGTGTAGTGATAGGAACGAGCGCAGAAAGGATAGGGGCATTACCCAGGTCGGCGAAACAGCCGTTTAGATGGGGTGTAAAAGTCGGAAAGATGACGTAACTAGACAAATGAGATGGGAGTTCTAGCCGAAAGTAATCGTGGGCTTAAGACGACTTCTTCCTTTTGTCTCAATTCTCGAAGGAACACTGTTGTTCCAGAACTCTTGGAATATTGGGAATGTGAGAGCGCTGAGCTGATATGGTGTGAATCATTTCTGTGTACAAATGAGCTTAAATTACACACTCACACATTTGATGCTTTTGTTTCTGAATCAATGCTATAACTCACTCAATTTCGAATGGTTAAATATGGTGATAAGAATAAAGAGCTGGCACCAGTAAGTGGTGACACGTTGTAGGACGGGGGGGGGGGCATTTGCAAGTTTCTCTCGACAACATAGTCAACTCTGTACTCTTTCCAGTTTATGCAAGAAATGTTGTGCACCCACGCAACAGTGATGTTTTTGTCAGCGGTCCCCTCATGCTCACTGTCGGCGAATAGGATGTCGAGGGGATAACTCGATGGATTCTGGATGGGACGACGACACGGACTTATTCAAAACTATTTTCGAAGCCTAATTAACGAGCACCTCATAAACTATGCATGCTCGAAGTTACAATCAAAACGGAGCCCATAAGATAGTTAAAATCGCCCATTCTTGTCAAATTCTTTTCACTCAGTTTTTGACCACCCCAGAAACGCATTTTTTTGATCCTTGTATGGACCCCAACAACAACCAACTAACCATCTCCCAAAAACGCGCCACGAACGCGCCTGGAACAAACCACTGCTGTTTTTTTCAACATATGTCTATTTCTTTTTCTAATTTTCAGCACATACATCACCTGCACATACAATCAAGCGACATTAGAAACTTAGTTACTCGGATAATCAACTCTCCGGTTCCAATCTAGCGATTACACCTTCTCTTG